CACCAGCCATGAGCCCGGCCACCAGAGAGCAGCTCCTGCATTGAGCGTCTGTCCCTGGTGGTTAGTGCATGACATCGCTGCTGGTCAACCTGTCATTCGGCTGCTTAGGCTTTTATATACTAGATTGACTACATTCCCTATGGTGTACTTTACATCCCCCTGGCTGTTTTTATACAAGACAATGTGTAAATCTTAATTTCTTCCTCTTTTTCACCCATTCCACCAACCCCTCCTCCTATCTGGCAGCCATCAATATGTTTTCTGTATCTATGAGTTTATTTATTTATTTATTTATTTTAGATTCCACATTTAAAGGAAATCATATGGTATCTGTCTCTCTGTCTGAATTATTTCACTTAGCAAGTCATTTGGCCTGGCCCTGCCAAGGCATCAGGGGTGAGTTAATTGTCTGACCAAACGTTGGAGGCTAATTTTTAAGTTGATAATTCTGTATGCCCAGCAAGTGATCTTATAAATATCCAAATGACCTTATGCAGTAAAAAGGTTTCCCACCCCTCTAAAGTGCTAGAGAATCCTCTAGAATTTTGCTCCTGCTCTCTTTCTTGTATTTTCAATCTTTCAACTTCAAGTGTGCCCTATCTTAACACTCACACGAGTCAACCTGAACTTACAACCAACTCTCATTGTTTCTTTCTCTTATACACTCAAAGTCTTCAATAAAATGGCTCTACCTTTAACTTCCCAGTATCTCTCGTTTTAAAACCACAAATCTTGAGACTGATCCACTGAGCTGAAAACAGGTATGAACTTCCAACTGTCTACCATTCATTTCCACTGGCAAATCCCTATTCACCATTCCAATTTCAGTTTAAATATCACCTTCCAGGTAAAGCCTTGCTACATCTCCCCCCAAGGGCTCATCACTTATTAAAAATTTCTTACACTAACATTTAAGACAAAGTTAAAAGTTAAAAGTTTTCTAGATAAGCAACAAAAAATAAGATTATTTAGAATGTCTGTAGAGAAGGTGGTCACAATTACAAACTTCCAGTTATAAGAAAAGTAAGTCTCAGGAATGTCAAGAACAGCATGAAGAATATAGTTAACAATACTATATTATATAGCAGGAAGTTGACAATGAATTTTTAAAAATATATTTTAATTGATTTCAGAGAGGAAGGGAGAGGGAGAGAGATATTAACATCAATGATGAGAATCAAGAGAATCACTAATCAGCTGCCTCTTGCATGCCCCTCACTATAAGATTGAGCCTGAAATCAGGAAATGTGCCCTTGACTGGGATTAATCCTGGGACCCTTCAGTCCACAGGCTGACACTCTATGCACTGAACAAAACTGGCTAGAGCAAGTATAAATTTTTAGAAGTTCTCATAGTATCCTTGCTGTGGTTCAGCTGGTCGGAGCATCATCCTGTACACCAAAAGGTGGCAGATTTGATTCCTGGTGAGGGCACACACATATCCAGGTTGTGCGTTCAATACCAGGTTGGGATGCATGAGGAGGCAACAGATTGATATTTCTCTCTCACATCTGTTTCTCTCTAAAACTTTGTTTCTAAAATCAATAAAATAAATAAAATTTCTCATGGCAAGAAAAAAATTTTGTATTTTGTGGCAATAAATGTTAACTAAATTGACTGTGGTAATCATTTTGCAATATATACATATATCAAATCATTATGTTGTTCACTGGGAACTAATACAATGTTATATGCCAATTATATCTCAATTTAAAAAATATATTCAGATGATATAATAATGTATAACCAGGCTGGTCTTGTTTATTTTCTTATTATAGCACTTATCCTCAAAAGAATGACGAGTGAAGGGGACCACTAAAATGCAATAAGGAGTATTGGGTTTGTTACCATCTTAAAAGAATGGATGTATAGGAGTTGGTCAGGTAAAAAAGTTGTGACCTAACCTTCCTTTCCCTTTTATGCTCCCCTCTCCCCCCAAGCATTCATCGCTTAAACTCTAAGGGACCCCACGAGCCCTAACCGGTTTGGCTCAGTGGATAGAGCATCCGCCAAACCGAAGGGTCCCAGTTGGATTCCAGTCAAGGGCATGTACCTTGGTTGCAGGCACATCCCCAGCAGGGAATGTGCAGGAGGCAGCTGATCGATGTTTCTAACTCTCTATCCCTCTCCCTTCCTCTTTGTAAAAATTCAATAAAATATATATTTTTTAAAAAAACACTTTAAGGGACCCCACAAGACTTGCAACCAGGGGAGCAATGGGCAGTGGCAGCCTGTCCTGGGCTAAACCCCTAAACCCCTTCCCAAGGACCCTTTTTCAATGACTCTCCAGTGAGCTGACAGCAGGCCCACGTTGGCTCACTTCTTTTCAATAACGTTTCTAAGGAGCCAAAGCAGTCCCATTTCGTCTCACTACTGTTGTTTCTATCCTAGGCCCTTCCTTTTTCCACAGTCCAACTTTAATAAACATAATCTCTAAATTAAAAACAAAAGATAAACCACACACACCTCTTCTATGAAAGGGGACTGCAAAGTTATTAACGTATAATGATAGCTACAACAGTGGCCTGTTTGGCTATTCTTGCATTAATTTAATTAAATGTATAGGGTCTACCTTCTATTACATTCTTCCTGAAATGCAAAACCATATAAAACACCTTTTCTGCCCTCAAGAAGTACATAATCAAATATACACGTCTATACAAGTAGCTCTAAAACTGCTGGGATTAATATCAGAAAGATGAATCACTTCTCAGTCTTCAGGCTAAGATTATGCATGAATCTGATAAGATATCTACACTTGAGGACAATGTACCGAATGGACTTTTGGAGCAGGAAGATGGGACAGAAGCTTCCACTCCAAGCACCCACCCAGTGCTGAGGCCCCCCCCCCCCGATAAGGAGCAATCACTTTCAGCCAGCTACCAGGAAAAGCCTGACACATCTAAAGAGCTTAATACATGTTGACTCTGAAAGCATTATGGAAGACCCAGGTTAGGCTTTGAAAGACTAATCGAATTTCCCCAGAGAAGGCACTTCAAGCAGAGGGATCTACAGGGAACAGGAAAAAAGCCACTGGGCGCCTGGAACAATGACCAGTAAACGGGGCTAAAATACGGAGTTCCTTCCAGGACAAACAAAATGTGGGCAGAGGAACAGCCTCCTAACAGTGATGTTTCGTGAGATTAATTGGGCAGTAAACTATACAGGCTGAACTGGTGTGGGGACAAGTACTGCAATATAGCATCCGGTGTCAAATATTCACTCAGTGCTTGAACTAGGGAACAGCAGCAACGGCAAGAACTGCCTGGGGACTGTGTTTAAATGAGAGCCAACTCCAAGAGAACAGCACCAACAGGTTAACATTTGTGGCCCTGCTACTCCTGACACCATGCCTTAATGCTCAATAAATGAGCTGTCAGAGGGCAACTTGAAAATGCCCACACTTTTCTCTCTACTTTTCCAAACCATGCATATTACACCTAAGGTGAAGTCCCCTTCCAGCCTTGGATTTACAGCCCAAATCAAAATTTGTCCGTGGGTTTTAGAATACCACTTCATTTTCCTTCAAAATATGCCACAGCGTTTTTAACAGTATATAAACTTGCTTCTGAACATTTGCAAACCACTGGGATTTTCTGTAGAAAATCATCCAGTTTCCACACAGACACACACCATAAAAACCTAGCTGAAAAATCTTACTTATGGCAGAAAGTTTTCCTTTTAGGTAGCAATCAACATCCTCCTAGTGTTACTTATTGAATCTGCTTCATCACTAGTGCAACCACAGCTGCATCTTACATTTCCAAAGTTGTGTAAAGCGTCCAAAATTGTGCAAGAGTCATCAGTGAAATCAGACTCTGGTATATTAATAGTTATAACACCTGAACAAGCCTCAGCTGTATTATTAGATTCCACATTATACCAAAAAAGTCACAGGTTTTGAGGAATTATTTTGCGTGTTTGTTTACTTACAGGTGAGATACACTCGGATCGGATGTTATTTAAAGTGAGAATACCTGAATTTCTTTCTGCTTCAGACTCAAAAATCAGCAGTTGTGACCCAGATTTGATACATGGGGAAGGGGGGGGGGGGATCCATGTCCCCAACGCACAGACACACACGCACACACCCAGAGTCTTGAATTATTATCCAATAACCCCAGTTTACACGTGGCAAAAGTCGACAGAACTATTTCGTGCTTTTAACGACCCCGACAGGGATTCCTCAGCCGTCAAGTAATGGGATCGGATTTATTCTAACTTAATAAGTGAAGGTGTTAGAAAAAGTAAACTATATATATATATATATATATATATATATATATATATGTATATATTAAAAAAAATATTTGTAGGCCTTGAAAAAAAGCACACACCATTTTTTTTTTTAAATGTCTCCTCTCCTTCTCAGCTGGCTGTCCCACACCAGGGAGCGCTATGCCCAGGCCAAGGCGGATGCATGTAGGTCAGAGAAGGTGGGACTCCTACAGCAAACCCCAGACCCTCCCCTCCCATCCATCACCTTTTCTGCTCTCCTCTGTCTCCCCTGTTCTTTCTCGGGGGGCGGGGGGGGGGGAGGCCAAGAGGCCCCCAAAGTGAGCAGCTCTGGCGAGGAGACTGCAACCATCTGAGCCGGGCCCTGGAGGCCCTGGGCTGCGGCCCCGCCTGTCAGACACTTCCCAGGCCGAGCGCCGCACACGACTGCCCCGGGCCCAGCTGCATGCCCCGGCCCAGCTGCATGCCCCGGCCCGGCTGCATGCCCCGGGCCCAGCTGCATGCCCAGGCCCAGCTGCATGCCGGGGCCCAGCTGCAGCCGCTCCGGGCGGGGGCCGCGCACCGGGCCCGAGGCCCGAGGCCGCGGCGCTCGCAGTGCCCACGTCACCAGCGCTCGCACTGCGGAAATGGGAGCGCCGCGGCCCGGAGGGAGGCGCCCGGCGGCGGCGGCGCCCGCGCCCGTGCCCGACGCCGTCAGCCCCTCTGCCCCGGCCCGCAGGCCGCAGACACCCGCCGGGGAGGCCCCGGAGGCCCGGGACCCTCACCTGTGTCGCCGATGATGATGTACTTGAAGAGATACGCGTACGCCATGGCCGCGGCCGCTCCGTGCCAGGGCACACGGCTCCTCCTCCGGCTTCTGCTCCTCCTCCTCCTCCTCCACCTCCTCCTCCTCCTCCTCCTCCTCCTCCTCCGCGCCCCTCAACCTGCCGCCGCAGCAGGGCCTCCAAACGCCAGGTCCGCCCGTCGCAACTTCCGCCCGTCGCCGTCAGCAGCCGAGAGTATGGAGATGAGGAGGAGCCGGACAAACCGACAGCCGAGGAGGCGAGATAGACAGCGCCCGGCAAAGCCCAGTCGAACAATAACAGCCGCCGTGGCGTCCCCGCCCCTCCGCCGCGCCGACCCGGAAGGGCTTCGGCCGCCGGCGTCGCCGGAGTAAAGGGGAGGAGCCCGCACGGCGGCAGCGCCTGTCAGCCCGAGCCCCGCCCACACAGGGCCTCGTCACGCCCACACAGGACCTAGCCCCGCCCACACGAGGCCTAGCCCCGCCCAGCGCCCAGCGAGCCGCGCCCCGTCCCATCCGACCCGGGCGAGGCCAGTGGATCCGGTGTCCTGGAGCGGGCGGGCGGTCCCTGCGGCCCGGAGCTGCCGCGGGAGGTGAAGTGAGGGTTCGGTTCTGTAGCGTTCGGAGCAAGGCCCCGCCCTGGGGTCCTGAAAAGGTGTTTGAAAATGCAGGCGTCTGCCTAGGCTGGGCTGGAGTGCGATGACCTTTCTGAACTTGGAGACCAGGGCTTGACAGTGAAAATGATCTATTTGTATATTTGAGACCGCAAAGGAGGGAATGTGAAGTATATGATGGTATGCCCCTACGTTGTAATACTACACGGCCCTCCCTTAACTAAAAAATATAAAAACAAAGCACAAGACTCAGTGTATAAATGTATATAGCAGATATAGTCATAGGTGATATATATATATAATTACTTATGTATTAAATAACACATAAATTACATTTTATTGTTGCATTAATATAAATGCATATTTGTAGGAAGCAGTTATAGGGTTAAGGCTCAGACTGACCTGTTGGCAAAGTCACAAGTCCCAGCTTGGAGGGCACAGTCCTCTAAGCCTAAAGCTTGATCTTGTGACTGCTCCCTAGATCTTTCCTGGGTAACTAATGGGCTGTGGGAGGAGCAGCAAGTGCTACCAAAGCAAGTGAAACTTAACAACAACATTGTAGATTACCTTGTTTGTCCCTAACTATAAATAAAACATCTGCTTTGCAGTCTGGATCTGTTCTGTGGCCTCAGCAAGGCACAGGAGATCCACCTAGACCCAGCTCATTCTCTTTGTCTGTCTTCTTCATCCTTCACCCACCCTCCCTCTGTGCTGGCGCAGCACACATATTTTTACCATTGTGTAAATAAAGAACAGGAATATACTTAAATACCCATATGTATACAGTCAGTCTGAAAGGAAACACAACTGGCACCAAGAGAGGGGGGTGATTGGAGGAAAGAGCCATGTTTCACTGAATTATTCATGTGTGGTTTGAAATTTTTTTGGAGTGTTCACAAATTACCTTCTGGAAAACACAGTTAAGGAACTAGACAAATAACTTTTTGTTCATTCAGCTAATACTTAGTGAGTACATCTTTTGTTTCCTGCATATCTAGGAATTGCAACTACAGGCAGATCCTGTGGTAAAGAAGCACACATTTTGGAGGAGGGACTAGAAGACAGTGTTAGTGTTAGGATAGGTTACCTAAAACGAGAAGATGATGTCTGAACTAGGCATATGAATTATGACTAAGAATTTGTCAAAAGGATAAAACTTTAGGGAAAGGAACTGAAGTCTTAGGCACAAGAAACAAAATGTGCAAAGTTCATGGATCTGCTCTGGGAATTTAACGTTGTGTAATGGGGAGAAGTGACTGGAATTTAGTGGCTTGGTTCCTGTTGCCTAATAGTCTCTCTCTTTTGGGATCTCTCACCATGTAATTCTATTTACACCTTCATGCTGGGCTGGCTGTGCTTGGCTGCTACTCAATTTGAGTGGCCTTGCAAAGTGTCAACTCACAGGACTTTTTCTGAAGTGTTTGAAGGGGATTTTACTAAAGGTTCAGCATACAAGAATTTGACATGAAATGTTATCTGGGCCCTGGCCAATTTATCTCAGTGGTTAGAGCAACAGCCCTTAGACTGAATGGTCTTGGGTTCGATTCCCAGTCAAGGACACGTACCTCTATCCCAGTCCTGTTCAGGCCCTGTGAGGTAGGCAACCAGTTGATGTGTCTCACATTGATGTGTTGTTGTTTTTTTCTCTCTCTCTCCCTCCTTCTTCTCCCCCACTTTCACTTTCTAAAGATCTGTGATAGAAAAATCCTATATAATAAAAGCCTAACAGGCAAATTGACTGAACAGCAGAACGACTGACTGGTCACTAGGATGTGCACTGACCACCTAGAGACCCTGCCTGTGCATGAATTTTGTGCACTGGGCAACTAGTAAAAAATAAAAATAAAAAGGTCAGTGGGAAAAATGTCCTCAGATCTAGCCTCACGTGAAGATTTAAAAAAAAAAGTTACCTGAAATTGCACAATCTGGTTCACTTATCCTTCCCCTGAGGGAGGGGAGGTCCCTGCTGAAAGCCTCCAGGCTGCAGAGCCCATTTGTCCCTCCCATCTGAGTGCTTCCCTCAGGTTTTTCGGGTGATACTAGTAGATATCAAGAATGTCCCCTCCTTCCAGGAGAAACCCAATTTCCTACTATTCTGAAAGCTTATTGCCTTTACTTATAGCCGCAACAGGACAACTCTATCATGGTATTACACAAAAACCTAGCATCCTTACAACTCAGGAACATTCCCATACTGTTGGAGGAGGTGAAGTCACTGGTGCCAGGTCTTGTAGCGTCTGGTAGCCATGTCAGTATGCATATAGAACTTCACCCATGCCAAAACCGGTTTGGCTCAGTGGATAGAGCATCAGCCTGCGGACTGAAAGGTCCCAGGTTCGGTTCTGGTCAAGGGCATATAACTTGGTTGTGGGCACATCCCCATTTGGGGGTGTGCAGGAGGCAGCTGATCAATGTTTCTCTCTCATCGATGTTTCTAGCTCTCTATCATTCTTCTTTCCTCTCTGTAAAAAAAAAAAATCAATAAAGTATGTTATAAAAAAAAAAAAAAAGAACTTCACCCAATGGACACAAGGGAAACTGAAGAGAAAGGTCAGAATTGGGTGTATAAGAGGTCATAGAAATGGGCATAATGCTATAGAGGCAATGGTGTGTAAAGAAGAACAGGGTATCACATGATCTCACTTACTTGTGGAATCTAATCAACAAAATGAATTGACGAACAAAATAAGTCCCAACATGGAGTCGTGGAACAGACCGACATACCTTGATGTGGGGGTTGGGGGGAATGAGAAGAGATAAACCAAAGAACTTATATACTTAGATGCATAGCCATGGACACAGGCAATTAGGGTAGTGAAGACCTGGGGGTGGACAGGTAAAGGCTGGGAGGACGGGAGGGGGGGGGGGAAGGGGGAAGAAAAGAGGGGAAATGGGAGAAACCTGTAATTCTACCAACAATAAAAAATATGTTAAAAAATTAAAAAAGAGAGAAAAGAATGGGGTAGTGAGCACATATACAATGTGCTATACAAATAAAGATGATGCATTATGGAATTGTATACCTGAAGCCTATATAACTTTATTAACCACTATCACCCAATAAATTTAAGTAAAGAACTTAGGAAACCTTACTTTTGATCTTGGTCCTGCCACTAACATTGGATGATTGTGACAAATGATTTGGCCTCTAAATGAAGGAGTTAAGTGTTACCAAAGAGGGTGTTCCAAGTCTGAAGTCCTTTAATTTGGTGTCTATCCAACCTCCAGCTCTAAAGCAGATGTACAATAGGTCATAATCATCTAATTTAAATGTCAGGGCCACAGACATCCAATTATATTATTTTTGCACAGAACATAATGCATTTGAGATGCATTATGTACTTGTGCACAGGAATTGTAATGATCAGTTGCTGCAGAGCAGTGTAATCTCAAAAGAGCAAGAATTTGATTTTTAAGTCCTTCCCTGTGCCTCAATTACCTTATCTGGAAAATGTAGATAATAACTGCCTCACAAAATCAATTTAGGATCAAATGAGAGAATGTATATGAAGATATTTTGTAAATTATGAAAAATATATGCTTAATACATAAAACTCTTAGTGCTGAAAAATTTTTAAAAATTTACAGTACCTTGAGGGAGTGAAGACCTAATCATAATATAAATTCATGTTTTAAATCAGCTCCATTCCTATCTCTCTAGGATGTCTATCTTTTTCTTACATGTACTCCATAATATTTTCTCTACTCCTATAAGCTGTCTTTTTGAAACAATACAGGGAAATCACAGAAATTTCATTTAAAACATTTACCCCAAATATTCAGAAACAACTTTCAAGAAAAATTCCTCAGGCAAAATGACAGAAATAAACCTCTCTTCCCTTACATGGTAGGGCAATTCCTGGGATTTTTCCATTCAGTTTGATTTTTAGCGATTTCACCCTCTTGGGTATGAATTCCAATAACCTCATCTCTCAGTCTTACATCATATATGGTGTGAAGGTCATAACTGAAATATAAAAATGGTAAGACTACATTCTCCAAGGTCTCCTTATTCAAGTTCTCCATGACTTGTTTTTAAAGAGTATTTTTTTTTTTATTGATTTCAGAGAGGAAGGAAGAGGGATGGAAACATCAACGATGAGAGAGAATCACTGATAGACTGCCTCCTCCCCGACCCACACGGGGGATCGAGCCTGCAATCAGGACTGATGGCCTGACCATGAATCGAACCGTGACCTCTGGCTTCCTCGATCGATCCTCAACCACTAAGCCATGCCAGCCGGGCTCCATGACATTTTAAAGTACAGTAGGATACTGGAATTTTGCATTTACTGCTCAGCCAAACTTATCTTGTGTTTACATTTTCTCTGGTTTTATTTTCTCTGAGATGTGGGAAGAAAGGTAGGGATGGGATGGGAGAAGAGTGACTTGGAATACTGAAATCCACAGGTTCTTACTATGGTTTCCATGGTTTCCTTATCTAGTTCTTTAATGAACTCTGGGAACTCTGATCCTCCAGGAATGATATGCAAAATGTTGTATGTATTTACATACATGTCATTTTATGGGAAATATTCTTGCATGAGTCCATGACCCAGAAGTAATTAAGAATTGCAATGAAAGGCCCTCTTTAGCCATTTCTGAATACCATGACAGGACTATTTTTCCAGCAAATACTAATAAGCTCAATACCAAATTTGGAGGAAGATAGAACTGGTTTCAAATCCTGAATTTACCACCTATCAGTTGAGTGATCTTGAATAAATTACTAAACT